CCCCCCCCCCCCCTTGTGTCCCCTTCAAATATTGCTCTTGAGAAATTGTATGTTTATTGTCCCCCACCTACTGTTAGACATTTACGCCCCGCCCCCTGCCATCAAGTATAACGGTCAAGTTCTCAAACATTTAATTAATTACTCTGAGTACATGAAATCATGTCATTTTGGTTACTGTAGAGTCTAACTTAGCTGAGGTTTTTACTAGTGTTACAGGATGCAGAAATGAAGAAAAGAGATAGGGTAAAATATTTAGAAAACTTCTTGAAAGTCATTGTGCTTCTACTGTATTTAGATGGCAGATGTCTTGTGATAATAACTGATATATTCTGGCTTACTGCATGATGAAAAATAAATATTTGCTCAGCAATTGTCGTACAGTGGTTTCATTTCAGAATTAACTCTATGTCATAAACTTCGTCTATGCTTCAAATGCTCCACCATCATCCCCGTCCCAAAGAAACCCAAAATTACGGGACTTAATGACTACAGACCTGTGGCTCTAACATCTGTGGTCATGAAGTCTTTTGAAAAACTGGTGCTGGCCCTCCTGAAGGACATCACTGGACCCTTGCTGGATCCTCTTCAGTTTGCCTACAGAGCAAACAGGTCTGTGGACGATGCAGTAAACATGGGACTGCATTATGTTCTGCAACATCTAGACAGACCAGGGACTTATGTGAGGATCCTGTTCGTGGACTTCAGCTCGGCCTTTAACACTATCATCCCAAACCTCCTCCTGCCCAAACTAACTCAGCTCTCCGTGCCCACCACAATAACTGTGGAACACACACTATTTATACACTCATACACTTATTTATCTAACACTCATACTCAGTCTACACCTAAAATTTGCACATAATATACAGTACCTGTACATACAAAACTGTCTATTGTAATATACCTGCACATGCAATTGTCGATTTATATATTTTTATTCCTTATTTACTTGTTCTATTTTTTATTTTTTATTATCTGTGTTTTTTGTTCTGTCACTGTCATTCTGTTACACTGTGGAAGCTTCTGTCACGAAAACAAATTCCTCGTATGTGTAAACATACCTGGCAATAAAGCTCATTCTGATTCTGATTCTGATTCTAAACATCTGTCAGTAATATACTTTTACCTCAGAGCTACAATATGGGAGATTTACAGTGAATAATTATATTTCAGTCTCATGACAGGCAACACAGCCAGTCACTGCAGTCATTATGCCATTTTATGAGGCTCTAGCATGATTCCTTTCTGTATCTCCTATAACAAAATCTTAAAGAAATAGCAGTTTGGTCATAATGAGGAAGTCTCAGAGAAATTACAGTCATATACTCGGAATAGTCCATCTGAAGTGAAATCTGTTGCATGTGCTTTTGTTGCTTGATGCACAAGTATATGTTAATGGAGGATTATTTGTATTCTTTCCCAAACACTCGTTTCTAAAAGCTCTTTTTCAGCAGAGAGCGCCAGTTGAGAGCCAGTCAGATTGTCATGCAAGAAAGGACATTCATGTTATGAAATTATATTTTAGTTATACCATAGTTTATCATTGTAATTTGCAAACTATAACTGATATGAACTAAATTATATGCAAATGTCAAAGAGTTTATCGAACATTAATACAGCCTTCCTTGTTAAAGATTACAAGTAGTTTATTTGCATATGGCTGATCCCAGAATAAATATTCTCTGTCGGATCAAGTCGACCCAACACATCATCTCTGAAGTGCTCAGAAGTGTCTCCCTTCTCTAACATTCATCATGGTAAGCATGGTCATAGTTTTTGTCTTTGTTTTTCAGTTTTGTTGTTTCTGTTCTTTTATTTATCAGGTTTGTTTCTTTCATTTAGGCGTCTGTGGCACTGAGGCTGTTCATCTTCTGCCTGTTTCATCTGTGTATTCAAAGTGATGAGGAGACAGTGGACCTTAATGTTCTTGCTAAAATGATCCAGTATTTTGATGCCATGTAAGTCAATATTTGCAAAATGTACACAATTCTGAAATGTGTTAATGCTGAATGTACAAAAGTGAGAAAAAATGTAATTACTTCTGTCTCAGAAACAAGGCTGAGTTTTTGAAAACCATAATAACTGTGTGATTTGTCTTCTAGGTTACAGCCAGGCGGGAATAATCATAATCAGTATTCTGTACTCATCAGGGTCCCATCTCAACAGTGCACAACACAGTTTAATCTTGATTCGGTCTTCAACACAGAGGAAGTGAAAAATGGCTTAAATCATTTCAAGAACAATGATCAAAGAAGGATATATGAATTCACCGGAGACTCAGTCAGTCTCACTGCTACAAAGCCGACTAAGGAAACTCCTGGGTCTAAAAAATTTAAATATCATTCTGAGTATGTTCTTATTTCTTCAGTTGCCCCAAATCAATCTCCCCTAGAGAAAATTTTGACAAATACAAATAATAATCAGTGTGTTGTTTTGTATACTTACAACTCACCTTGCATTAAAAAATGCATTACAGATGCAAACAAAAATATTTTAAAAGGCCTTTTAGACTGGAAAGTTAAACAGACAACTGGGATTAAAGCTTTCGTTTTCCAAGAGATCTGGCAAGGGGACTTGTCTGCAAATCTGGAAGAGCAGTTTGCAAAGATTGATAATCTAGTGCCTCTCTATCGATGTGTAAAGAATGATAATCAAATGCAATGTTATAAGTGTGGAGATGCTGGCAGTGCGACGTTACATCAGAGATGTGTATCTTAAGCATTTTGTCAATAATCATACTGTTGTTGTATGTTAACGAATGATTTTCACATCACTGTATTATCTTGCACCTAAATAAAATTAGCTTTGACTATGCAGTGGCGGAGCAAGATTCATTAACAATGAATCACTCTGTGTTCGTCCA